CACAATGACTACATTTAACAATAATAAGTTGTAATGAGTAGTATGGCATTCAATTATATAAGCCCCCTGATCCTCAAACTAGGATTTCCTGTTTTTTGAGAATCAGTGGTTCCGCCCTGCGCAATGCATCATAGGTAAACTTAAATTATTCTACATGAAAATGTATCATGGTTAGGTTGGGCAATGAAATAGGTCATATATGCGTATGTATATGTGTGTGTGTGTGTGTGTGTGTGTGTATATATGTGTAAGTGTGAGTATGTGTGGGCGTGTGCGTGCGTTTGTGTGCTGGTTGTGAGTGTGCGTGTGCAAGAGAGTGTACGTGTTTATCTGTGAGTATGTATATCTACGTCTGTCTTAGCAAACTACAGTAGGTTCTCTGTGTCGTGGTAATCAAGGGAGTGTAAGCATTGTTCAATTTTTATTTTGAGTTTGAACTTTGTCTGGTGTTGAAGATTTAAGATCTTATGTAGTTTGTTATAAATATTTGCACTTTGATACTCATAGTTTCTCCTACCAAAAGCAGTCCTGAATTTTACACTAGGACATGGAGGTTTGGGTCTTCTAACAATATTTGTAGAAGCTGCATCTGTTATGTGCACGGTTTTGTGTCGGCGTAGACACACACAACACATATAGTTGTCTGACCGTGAGACATGCCGCATCTTTATAAAGTTGGTTGGTAGGATATCTATAAGGTTTCCGAAGCATGACTTTAAGGACCGCCCTCTGAGCACGCTCTAGGTCAATGAATTTAGTCTTGGCCGATCCTCCCCAAAGCGGGATGCAGTATGTGATAATAGATTCGCATAGGGAGGTATAAACTGTTTTAAGAATAGGCAGGTCAGCAGAATTTCGGAGCTTTTTGAAGACGCATATTAATTTTCTAACCCTTGCTGCCAATATTTGCATATGTTCATACCAATTTAGGCAGTGATCAAGGGTTACCCCCAAATATTTTGTGGATGAGGTTCTGTTTAAGGAAGGGCATGAACATTTAAGGCCATTATTTGGACAAGTATAGGCTTTTATTGTGATGGAGTCCACCGCAGGTTGGCTAGATGGATTAATCGCAAAGGTTAGGTAGGTAGTTTTTTCTACATTTAGTGTCAGAAGATTGTTCGCAAGCCAGTTGACTGCAAGGCTAAAGGCTTGTTCGGCCGAGATTCTGGTTTCAGCCCAAGTCATACAGTAAACTAGTATGGCAGTGTCATCAGCATACGAACAGATATGTGAATTAGGCAGCGAGATATCACAAAGTTCATTGAGGTAAATCGCAAAGAGGGTAGGGCCCAGGATGCTCCCTTGTGGAACCCCACATAGTACTGGGACTTCGTTACTAGTAAGTGAACCAATACGAACGCATTGAGTGCGATCTTTTAGGTAGTCAGTGTAAATTTTTAGGGCATCTCCTCTGACACCCACCGATTCAAGTTTTTTTACTAAAATTGGAATGGAAACTGTGTCAAAGGCCTTGGAGAGGTCAAGAAAAATGCCTAGACACTTTTGTTTATCGTCAATCTTACGAACTGCAAGCTGTGTAAGTGATGCAACTGCATCTTCTGTAGACAGACCCTTTCTAAAGCCATATTGATTTTTTGATATAATATTATTTGCATCCAGAAAGTCTGTTAAGTAATTGTTGAGGACTCTCTCCAATATCTTTGACAAAGCTGGAAGTATGGATATAGGTCTGTAGTTACCTACTTCACCCTTATCACCATTTTTGAAGATCAGTATTACTACTGATCTTTTTAGGGCCCTGGGGAAAGTACCAGATCTTATGGCCAAATTGCATATGTGAGTTATTACTGGAACTAGATTAAACTAGACAGTCTAGCAGATTTGAGAACACTTGTGTGAATGCCATCCCGTCCCATAGCTGTTTCTGTGCGGAGGCTATTAACTACTCTGTTTATCTCTATTTCGTCCACTTCAACTATGCCCATGGATTTTAACGGTGCAGGATTTGTGAGACAATTCGTTTTGGATCTGTGAGTTGGTTTTATTTTACTGGCTAATTCGTTACCTATATTAGCGAAGTAGCTATTAATATAATTTATTGCTGTGGTTTTATTTCCATATGCATTTAATAGGTCCTCTGCATTGGTTCTTGTAACAGCAGTATCAGTAACTGTTTTGATTACCTCCCACGTTTTTTTAGGGTTTTTGTTATATTTTGCAAATTCAGATCTCTGATAATCACATTTGATTGTTCTAAGCAGATTGTTGCAGAAGTTGCGATAGCGCTTATAAGTAATTTTAAGGATAGTATTATTTGGTTGTTTTTTAAGCTTCAGATGCATGTTGTCTCGATTACGTATGCATTTTAGTAACCCAGGAGTTATCCATGGCTTAATTATTCGAGACTTACAGGAGACCCTAGTGGTTTTACTATGCAATACCATGATAGATTGAAGGGTATGAATGAATAGATCAGTAGCTTCATTTACTTCATGTTTGGAAAGAATGTTAGACAAATCCGTCTTTTTTATGTCACTAAGAATGGCATTCATATCCAGACGTTTGATTTCACTATGCAACTTAGGGGTCGCTCTAGTCCTATTGAGGCTTAGCAACACAGGATAATGATCAGTGATAGAAGATTCAATTACTACTGTTGTGGCAGTGTTGTGAGTTTTAATTAGTGCATGATCTAAACAGTTGTTTAATCTCGTGGGAAACTGGTGAGTAGGTAAGAGGCCATGTGATGCTGCAAGATTTAGGTAGTCATAGGCGCTGCTGTCCGAGCTGTTTATTTTAATATCTAGATTTAAGTCACCCATCAGTATAATGTTTTTATAAGTCGATAGTTCCGATAAAATAAGATTGAGACTGTTACCAATTAACTTCTTGAAATGGAGGTTCATACACCTCGAAACCTTTAAGACTGTTCTTAACATACATAACTATCCCTTCATTCTGACTGTGCACCCTATTCGTTGCAAAGCTCGTATATCCATCCAATACCGGCAAAGTAAAAGTCCTAGATAACCAGCATTCTGTTAGTATGAGTATGTCACAGCCAAATTCAAGAGAGCATAGTAGTATTCTAAATTCATCAAAGTTCTCTTTGATGCTTCGTATGTTGAGGTGTATGACTTTGAGTGATTTAATCAGTGAGTTAAGAAGCTTGCTACAGTCTTGTGCCCCACAAATATGTGATTTATGTGTTGATAAGCTATCAAGTTCAATTGTATTAGCCATTTAATAAAGAAAAAAAAGTCATTACATTATTATACGACAGGTGATTCATGGGTAAGAAAACTATGATCATTATTAGTTGTGTAGGGTCTAGTAGTTTTAGAATACTCGTAGATGAATTTATCCTTAGTGTGATTTTAATGGTGTTATACTTGTGCATTGTGTATTTATGTTTTGTGTGAGAGTTGAAGGTATGTCGCCTAGAGTACGTGAGTTCTTTACAATGTGAGTAGTTGGTGAAGATATGTATGAGATGTATGTATGTATGTAGGTAAGTGTACCTATTTTTTAAGTTAGAATTTATAAAGATAGACTGTTTTATATATAAAGGGAATAACCGTATAGACAGACTTAAAATTAGTCACATTTTTTCCTGTAAGTTGATTAAACATTGTTCCGATGTAATAAGGATTTGGTTAGCTCCATCCTCCTTCCTAATAAAAATATTACCATTAGCTGTCCAGCAGTACACATAATTATTTTGTTTGGCAAACTCACGAGCCCGGAAAAACAACTTTTTCGAAGTAGGTGGAATGACTCGGAGACAAAAATGGGTTGTTTCTCGCCTTGAATGCCGGTGTGGGTTGTATTTAGCTTTTCGGACTTGATATGTTTTTTATTATAATCTCGTAGTACTGAGAGGTAGTGATTTTTGGTTTGCACCTGGGTAAACTCAGCGACTATTGGTTTCCTAGCACCTGGTTTTCCTGGTAATCGTCTGATGTCCCTTATGTCAGCTGCGAAGATATTGACCTTTATAACATCGCCAATGCTGGAAATCACGGAAATTAGATAGGTGTAGGATTCCTTCTCTTTCGGAGGTACATTTCGGATCTCAATACTAGAACAGCACGAGCTAAGTTGCATGTCTTTCAACTTATTTTCCAGAGATTTATTGTAATCTAGCAATTGGAGGCGTTCCCTTTCCAAGCCAATAAATCTACCCTTAAGCTCTTCATACTGTTGATTCACAAAACCAATAGATTTTTCAATCTCTTGATGCGATTTTAAAATATCTGCGTTTTGCAACTTGATATCACTTACTTCGGCCGCTAGTGTGTTTAAAATGTCGTTTTGGTTGTCTATAATTTTCATTAGGTTATTATCATGAGATTCCTGCCATTTTTGTAATATTTCCATTATGTTAGATGTTAACTCTTTTCTGAATTTCGCTAGATCGCATTTCTCAGGTGAAAGTTCACTACGCGGCCGCTTATTTCTCGGCAGTACGTTTACCACATCGCTGTCATGCGATTGCTGGGAGACGGCTTGCGTTAGATCCGGTTCTGATTGTGTTTGTGGAACCTTTAAAGAAGGGAGGGCGCGTTGGGAGGTGAACGCATTACTAATTATGCTCCCTAAGAACTGTAGTAATAAGTTATAAACTGTTTCGTACCGCAGCCAAGTGTTCAATATAAACGGCAGTGTCTCGTAGCCGATAGTGTGTGTCTTCGATGTATCGTAGCAGGCGTAGCATTCGACGTCACTCTGAGGCACACGCAGCCTAGTCGTCAACAGTTATTTCGCGAGGTACTCGTAGCGCTTGACAGCTTGTTAGGGAGTGTCGTCGACCGAGAAGCCAGCGACCCGAGATCGAGACCGGTGCAGCCGCCGCACTTTGACAATTAGTTGCGGCTCACAAAATTATAACTATCTCGCTCAGAGTCCGCCCACAGGGTGGAGTCAAACCATTAACTACCACCAAGCGCGACAAGGAACCGAATTCAGCACTTTACACCAATCACAATTAAATAAAATGAATTTAGAATAACACCTTGCAGCAACCAAACACACGTCTACTCAGTGACACGCGCAATGCGGAATTTCAGTGCAGTGGGCTCACCGTCGGTCGATACACCAAAGGAGATTGGGCGGTGGTCCGATAGATCCGACAGATTCGAGTCCACCCTCCAGCCAGTGATCCTTGGCGCAAGCCGAACCGACGCCATGGTGACGTCAATGATGCTTATGTGCTCGCGACCCTGTCGGAACGCCGAGAACGTTGGCGTGGTCCCTTCGTTGATCACCTGGAGTGACTCTTGCGCTGCAAACTCCGCCAGCGACGCTCCTCTGCTGTCCTCATCCTTGCAGCCCCACCAGGGACTCCTGGCATTCACGTCGCCGGCGATTAGGCAGTGGTCGGTGTGCAGCGTGGCACCGATCGCCCTCAATTTGGACAGGTCTTCGTCTAGGTCGGAGTCCCCCTCCAGGTACACACTTACAACGCCCACGCATAGTTCCCCCATGGAGATCCTGACTCCCACCATGTTATAGGCCGCGCAGTCTGGCTCCTGGGATACGCGGAGTCGGTCATCCAGCACCACCACCGCGGCTTTGGGTGGTTGGGTCCCTGCGCCACCCTGAAACACCCGGGCATCCAGCACCTCGAGCTTCCTTGTAGCGCCCACATAGGGTTCCTGTAGAAGCAGGAGGGATACACCCTGCTTCGAGGCTATTCTTAGTAGGTCTTTGGTGGCAGCGAATCCTCTTCCCTAGTTTGCCTGTAGTACCCTCACTTCGTGTCCCTGGGAGCCCTCAGCAATAGCTGACTGCGTTGCGGGCCACTCCGTCCCACTTCCTCCAGATCGGGCATTCACTGGAGTATGCCGGGTGGCTGGACCCCTCCCCACAGTTTGCGCACTTGGGTGTTGCGTTGCTTCGGGTACAGGTTCGGGTGTCGTCGAGCAGTAGCCGCAGGTTGGAGACCTCCCCTGGCACTCAGTGGCTCGGTGACCAAAACCCAAGCAACGGTAGCACTGGACTACCGGGGACTATTCGACTGCGGGAACCTTTACACCTTGGAGGGCCCTCCACACCTGCGGGCTCACCTCCATTACGACAGTGCTCCTCTCTCCTGTTCTACCCTTCACCCTGCGAACCACCCTGGCACTCCTCTGTTTCTCTGGGATTTCCCGCAGTAGGCCGCTGTTCTGGGTGAGTATCGCCGCGCTCATCCTTTCGTCGCTGAGATGATGTGCGACTCCGATCAAGCGCAAGTGTGGCAGCTTCTTCTAAGCTTCCACCGCCGGGAGTCCTGTGTTGGGCGCTCTGATGGCATCCCTCAGACCACCCTGCCCCTCCTTAGTCTTCTGAGTCCCTTCACCCCTACTCCGAGAGAGACGACGTCCACGCCCCTCTTCAGTGCGTCGATGACGTCCCCACCGGAGTGGTGTGGATTGATGGACTCCACAATGAGGCCGTACGAGGTCCTGGTCCTCTGAATCGGTGTACGGTCCGGGCCGTCCCCCGTGCGGACCAGATTGCTGTCTGGGGTTTGGGGGGCTCCTAAGTACCCCTGCGTAGGTTCGCACCGTCTCACCGATCTCCGAGGTGCGACCCGCCAGGTCATCGAGCTTGGACTCTAGGGGTCCAATGGCGCTCCTCACCGCATCTCTGGTCTCAGAACTTGCCAACTCGCCACCAAGGTCCGTCACAGTGCCAGGCGCTCTGGGCTCTATGAGAATGAGGTCCCTCACTTCTGAGATCTCAGACCTGATCGACCGCAGTAGATCCATCGCAGGCCCCTCCGTCAGCAAGCATGCCCCACGCGCATCCTCCGGGGGAAAGGGCGGCGACAGGGCCTGGTGCCTCTCGACCACCGCTTCTTGTAGCTGTTTGAGCTGCTGGGTGATGTCCTCCATCTTCCCCCGGGTGCAGTCGCTCTCAGGCATGGCAGGCTCCCCGCGGAAGCACTCAGCTCCCGCCCGGCCACGTGTCATCTCGTCCATCTCGAGGCGCCACCTCTCAATATCGACTTGCAGGGCCCTAAACTGGTTTGCAAGTCCCTGCATTTTTGACCCCAGAGAGAGCAAATCGGGGTCCGGGCCGGGTGTTCGGATGGAGTTCAGAGTCTGCGGAACCCGCGAGTCCCCCCCAGCATCCCCCTCCAATCCGTGATGCGGAAGGCGCCCGGCCATCACTCTCTGTAGTTCGAGGTGGATGCTCCCTATGGTCTTAATGGGAGCATCCATCTCAAAATTCAGCCACTTTTGGATCCCCTCCACGAGTCCACGTAGCCCCGCTATGAGGTGTTGGGTCTCTGCCAGCCTGTCCCCAGTCAGGCTGCCAATCTCGGCCAGCTTTCGAGCGTGGGCCCTTTCCACTCGAACGAGCTCCTTTGCCGCGCGCGTGCGCTCCTCCTCCAGCGCCACCCGATGCCGGTTTCTGGAGTCTGCGATGCCGAGAACAGTTTCATAGAGTGCATAAGGCACTCCAGTGCCTCGGCTTTGCACTCCCTACGCATGTTTGTTGCCTTCTCCAGTGCCTCTTTACCATCCTGGAGCAGCTTGTTCGCCCCCTATGGTGGCCAAGTCCATAGCGACACCGACGAATCTCCCCACAGGGGGCAGAATGCTTGCTCGCCCACTCCTCCAGCTCTTGTTGCTGTCAGCATCGGAGAGAGCCTCGTCGGTGTCGCTATCATTCGCCAGCACTAGCGGCGGCGGCTCCCGCCTCGAGTCGGCTATACCCTCCTCGGTCCCCAAACTTCCCTCAGCCCATCGGTACGGTCGCTCCTCTCTGGACGGTCCCGGTATTGCGGGGAGCTGGTCATAGACCAGAAGTCCAGCCTGCCCGGGCTGCTCTTTGGGCTGAGGGACTCCGCACTCAGGTATGGAGTTTCAACTCTTCCCTGGTCCGAGTCCCCCGAAGATCCGGCCGGGTCAAGGGAGGTCGGCTGATCCACCTCAAGAAACCCTCGGGCAAGGTCTGCCTGATTGCGCCTCGCGGTGGTTTGGGCGTTTTTGATAGTGGTGGCCTTGCGTAGGGTTCCCGACGCCGACTTGACCGATTTAGGTGGCCTAGCCTTCTTCGTCCGGGCCCCCTGTTCGCTCCTCGCTGACTTTTTTACAGCCCTCGGGCACCGGAGCAGTGTCCATGTCGTTTTTGCGACTTGCTTTTGGTGAGGGCTCTATGTGGAGTCTCCCCCAACAGTTGGCCTGGTTGACCTCCTCAGTTGGTCTACCTTACACTAGCTCGTCGGAGGAAAAATCGGTCAAAACTGAAAGTTTTAGAGCCTAATTAAATTTCGGCTCTATGTAGAGACGATTTGATAGGACCAACGGATAGCCCTCGCCGGCCCCGTTCCAAAGACCCCAAACACGCCCCGGTCAGCCCCATGGGCTCCGAAGCTACAGCGGTTCAAAATTCCTGGTTACCAGTAACCAGAGAAACCATAAATGGTTACAACGCTGTAACTTCGGAACCAGTCGGCCGAAAATGGTCGCGCTTGGTGTCGTTGCGCTCAGCTCGGCGAGCTCTACGCGCTCCTCCTATTTCCAGCTCTCAGCAATGTGATTGATGGAATCTGGATAAAACCCTCCTACGTCAGTTCTTAAGGGCCGGGCAAGATGCTTTAAGAAAACCCCACGTCTCTACGACCACTGGTTCAGAAGTTATGCGGGTTCTAAAACTCCAAAATGGCGGCGTGCTGTTACATCCCTAATTTTGATGATATTGCATAGGAATGCAATACAATATTGCTGACTTGCAATAATAGCAAAATGACGTAAATTTAACATTGCAGATCAGCAATAAATACACTATAAATACCAATCCTTTTCTTAAATTAGTCAGTTATTATTCTCTAGTGCTGATATAATTTGTGGTCTCTGACTACTCCCCAACCTAGGTTGGTTTTCAGCAAGGAATTCTAGAGCAATAATATACTCCGGGTCTATTGTGCCCTTCGCTGGGGCCAATGAAAACGCGTATAATCCGTGTTAAGTGGTGTTGTATAAGTTTGTGTTTATATTAAGTTGCCAAAAGTTGTATAGAGTTATAAAATAAATAATTGTGATAGTCAGTGGTGGTTTTTTTTAAAGTGCCGGACTGTCCAATCTAACATTTGGTGTCAGAAGAAAGGGGATTTTTGAAGTCCCTCTGGTCGCCTACTCCTGACGACGACCTGCTCCAAACACAACCTGGCCTTAACCAGTTCCTGAACTAAGTTGGCCACCTGCTGTCTCCGCCGTCTCTCTGACGCTCCCTGAGGCCGCCGCCGACTCCGGACATCGCAGACAACGTGTCATCGAACTCCACTGTGCCCGAGGGGTCATTGCCCGGCACCGAGTTCATAATCACACGAGTACAACACCACGACACACTTTACACCGACCCGTACCTATTGCAAAATCTGCAACGCTGCACATTGCGTCACCGCTGTGTCGCCGCTCCGATTTTCGCTGCATCCATGACATCGTTCTACATACTGCTAATATTGTGAGTGTTTGCTCGTTTATATTAATTTATTTTTTGTCACTGACATATTTTTGCTAATTTCAGTCTTAATTTTTGCTCCCTTTTTATATAAAAATGGTTAACGAAAGTGTTAAACTTGAAAAGAAAAACGCTCAGTCGTGTTCAAGTATACAAAGCGTAGGATCAGAGGAATTTAATTTTTCAATTTTGACTAAGTTTATAAAATCTTTCGATGGTGATAGAAACAGGTTAACAGCCTTTATTAGAAACTGCGAAAACGCGTTAAACTTGACCACCGCATCGCAACATAACATTATCTTTCAATATATAATTTCACAATTAGAAGGTAAAGCAGAGTCCGCCTGCTCTTTTAAAAAATTTTGAAAATTGGTCTGAGTTGAAACAGTTTTTAAAATCAACTTTCGGGGAAACCAAGCATAGAGATCATTTATTATTAGACTTACAAAATTGTAAACAAAAGTCTAATGAAACGGTTACACAATATAGCCTACGATTAGAGACATATTTAACGCGATTACAAACTGACATCACACATTCTACTAGGGATCCTAGTGAATTAAAGGGCCGAATCGCCAGCACAGAAGACTTAGCACTGCATACGTTCTTAATGGGCTTACCGAGTCATATCTCTAACGTTTTAAGATGTCGCAACCCTGCAACTTTACACGAGGCTATAAACCTGGCTATTCAGGAGGAAAAACTACAAAATTATATTCAGTCTACTAGACCAATTGAAAATAAACCTAGGTGTAAAATATGCGGTAAAATAGGTCAGTCGGATAGAAATTGTTTTAACAATCGACAACGTTCTGTACATACTCTTAGTAACCAACCTCAAATATCCTACCAATCACAACCCTCTTCCTCTTTTAATGCGCAAAATAATACCAATTTATTCTGTAAACATTGTAAAAATCCCGGTCACGACATAACGCAATGTCGAAAGCGCCAATATAATAATTCCCGTAACAATTATTCAACTAACAAGCCACAAAGGCAAGTTAACAATGTTGTCCAACTAGCTCACTCTGAAATTCAAGATTTTAACTGTAATTCATTAGAGTCAAACACGTATGATCATTTAAACTGAATAAGATTCCGATCCCGCGTCGTACGGAATCATCAATACAAAACCGACGCTGACGCCTCTAATATCCCCTTAACTATATCTAATAAAACTTTTATGTTAAGTAATACTCGTAATAAGAACCATATTAATTTTACTAAATCTAATATCCTTACTAAATCCTTTACATCTCAACCCCAGCAGTTGAGTCATAATACTAATCTTACTATTTCTACATCTCGCGTTAATAAGCTGAGTCCTACTACTTCTACTAAATCATTTACATCTCAACCTCAGTGGTCGAGTCATAACGTTAATGGTGCCAATTCTACTATTTATACATCTCCAGCTAGTAAGCGGAGTCCTACTATATCTCTAACATCTCAACCGAAACAGTCGAGTCATAAGAATATTATTAAGTCTACTATTTCTACATCTCGGGAAAAACCGAGTCTTACTATTTCTCCTATGTCTAATACATCTCAACCACAGAAGTTGAGTCTCGAAAACTATCATACTAAATCTACTATTTCTCCTAAATCCTCTACACCTCAACAATTGCAGGTGAATTACACCACGTTTCATCATAATAATAACAAGCCAAATACCCTTAAAAAGTCTACTAATTCTAAAACTACTATATCCGTCAGTCCTACTAAATCTTACAATTGCTTAGAAAACCATTTCAGTACACCATTTAATTTAACAGAAACTAATAAATGTAATTCAGAAATACAATCTAATATATTTCAACTCAATTACAATAAGAAAACGCATTTGCCTCATATCTATGTCAAGACGAAATATACAAACAAATTACTAGTTCTATTAATCGATTCCGGTGCAGGAATCTCTCTAATAAAAGGGAGTTCTTTACAAGTTCAACCCAAATTAACACCTGAAAGTGTCCAGTTTAAAGGCATTGATAAAGACGCCGAATATTTTAAGAGCTTGGGACATCTTCAGTTAGATTTTATATTTCAGAATAATAAAACTGTTTTCGGTAAATTTCACGTCATATCAGACTGTGTAGATATCGAATTTGATGGTATAATTGGTAATGACTACCTAAAATCTCATAATGCTAATATCGATTATAAACATAACGTCTTAGAAATACATGGTAACTTAATACGAATTTATTTCACTAAACCCGAATATATCATTCCATCGCGCTCGGAAATGCTTATAGAATGTAATGTACTAAATCCTGAAGTAATCACGGGTTACGTCGATAAGTCTGAAATTCAGAAAGGTGTATTTATGTCTAGTTGTCTTGTTACTCTTAAAGGAAATAATCATGTCACTGTTTCAGTCCTCAACACTACTAATAAGGAAGTAACAATAAAATCCCTTTGTGTAGAACTAATTCCCTGTGATTTGATAGAAGAATTTTCATATAAAATTAATTCTATTAATCATTCTAATTCCAAAGTATTGGTGTCAAACAGATCTCACGAAGTTCAGAAACTGATACGGGCTTCCCACCTTAACCCTGAATCAACGGCTTTACTTGACTTATGCTCAGAATACTCAGATCTGTTCCACTTAGAAGGAGATACTCTTACTCGTACAAATACCTTAGAACATAAAATCAAAACAACTAGTTCACAGCCTATTCATGTCAAAACATATAGATATCCCGAATGTCATAAAGAAGAAGTCAACAAACAAATAAAGAAAATGCTAGATCAAAACATAATAAAACCCTCTGATTCTCCCTGCTCTTCTCCTATTTGGGTGGTACCAAAGAAGCAAGATGCTTCTGGCCAAAAGAAATGGCGTATTGTCGTAGACTATAGAAAACTGAATGACATTACTGTCGGAGACGCTTATCCTATTCCTAATATAACAGAGATCCTAGATCAATTAGGTCATAGTAAGTACTTCAGTACGTTAGACCGTGTGTTAGGTTTCCACCAGATTGGTATGAGCACAGAAGATGCTCCCAAAACTGCTTTTTCGGTCCCTAATGGCCACTTCGAATATACTCGAATGCCTTTTGGGTTAAAAAATGCACCTGCCACTTTTCAAAGATTGATGAATACCGTGCTTTCCGGTCTCGAAGGTCTCCACTGCTTCATATATTTGGATGACATCATCTGCTATTCTCACTCACTCGCTTCTCACATAGATAAACTTAAACTCATATTCGAGCAGATAGCAGCTCCATGCGATAGAATCCCAAAACACCATATCTTCACAAGAAGATACTACATCCAGATACATGGAAATGACCGAGATCAATCCGGCATTAACGAAGTCCGAATTTACACGGACGGTTCCAAGACTAGGTCAGGAACTGGAGCCGGAGTTTTCTCGCAAGACCTAAATATAAACATATCCAAAAATCCATATAACACAGCTCCATATTTCAATGTGAATGTGTGGCAATAACTTACGCTGCCACAACGGCCATGTCAAGGGGTATCAAGGACTACAACATCCGAATAATATCCGACTGCATGGCCGTCTTAAAGGCACTGGAGGGCAACACAATGACCTCTGGTATTGTCTTCGAATGCCACCAAGCACTGGAACAGCTCGCTATATTCAATGGGGTACTCCTCTAATGGATTAAGGGGCACAGTA